TCAAGGTTGCAACAGTGCTACAAGAGGAGAAAGTTACCTTCATGTTCATACAATTGGAAATAATCGAGCAAATTCAGAACATTCTAACTATAACTACCTATCATTTAACTACTAAGCCAAGAGAGAAACTAAGAAAGCGCTTAAAACTTATAGAAAATAAATGCTTTTTTTTGGATGATTTGTTGATGTCTTTAGCCTTGTGGATCCTTACTGCTATAGACAAAATCCCTCGGAAATGTTGTCTCGCTAATCCCACTAATGCCCTTTAACCGTTCAGTAGTTTACTCCTACGTGCATTGGCCATGTTCCTTGAAAAAATTTGGGCCTCAATATTGGGCTATTTCTTTCATCCCTATTGGGTAGGTTCCTTTAATTTATCACCATTGAGCCAATAGGATTATATCGATGAGCGTATTATCGTTCATAAATTTCTAGTCACACACCATTCTATTAAGTCAAACTTTGGACCAATCTCCCTAAGGATGGTCAAAGTCAACACAAATTTTAATCTGGATGTAATAATAGCCAAGAAAAAAGCTAACTACTCCATACCAAACATGTATTTTGCTTGTATGATGACTACATATAATGGCACTAAAATTTTTAACCTAGATTAGTCTAGAAAAAAAGTCATTTCAAATGTTCAATTCATCTAATTTAAGATTATGTTTTGTTCAGCTTATTTAAGTAAGTACTTGTTAAAATTAGAAATGATTAGATCATATCATATTTTTTTTATTTGCGTTTACTTTAGCTAAATATCTTTAGATCATCCACAATGGATAACTTTATCCCATGTATGTAGCTTTGGGTTGCCACATCATTATTCTCAAATTACATCAATTTAAGTTACAACCTTCACGATGACAAGCTACTATCTTTTGTAAAATAAAAAAAAAGGAGGAAAAAAATGCAAAAAAAAAAAAATCACAGACAATTCATTCAATCAAAAAGGACAACACATGTTTTGGGTGTAGTCAAACTACATAGCTTTGTAGAGCTATGTAGTATACCAAAGCTACAACCCTTAGCTAGTAGCTTACCAGCTTTTAGCTTCACAATGGTAAGTTACTAACTACAACTATTTAAAAATTGCAAGTAAAGACCTATTTTATACCAGGGGCGGAATAGGGGGGGGGGGCTGACGTAGGCCATGGCCACCCCCATGATTCTCTTTAAAAATTAATTTATGTTTGCAGTCCAGTTGGTTTAGCAAGTGAGATTCCAATCAATGTAACCAGTGTTCGAGGATTGCTGCACACTTTTTTACCTCCTTTCCTTTTTATTGACATTACATATCAAAATAACAAGACAATACTACCTAAAGTATATTGCCAAGTCTTCAATTTTTTATTTGTTTATTTATTTTTTTATATATATTGTCTAATAATAAATTGAAAGTTATAAATAAAAAATAAAAATAAAAAGATATTTGATTATTTAAACAAAATTATCTTGCCCCCCTAATGTTAAATTTCTGTTTTCGCCACTATTTTATACCATTGTGGATGATTCCATGATTTAATAATATACTATATATTTGCAAGGTACACATTAATACAAATCTAATGACATCTCAATTGATTATTTTTATGTCGAGGATTAGTGTAAAAAAAAAATTAGAGTTTTGTCAAATCTAGAAATCAAATTAGATCAGATCAAGCAGCTAAACATAGCCAAATTTATTTTATGCCTAATCTAATTTATTAACTTAATTAAATCTAGACCTTATTAGTAGACTAATCCTTGAAGGAAAAAAATCTTCTAATGAGATATCATTTGATTCATATTAATTACTTTTCAAATATGAAATTTTCATATTTTTTTTCAATTATGGAATTAAAGACATTTAGTGATAAACAAGTTTAAATAAGAAAATTATGATAAACAAGTTTGGTTCGATCTAACCATCTTTGGTATCAAATTAGTAAATATTTGCATAAAAATAAGAATTATACTCCCTTCGTCCCTTAATGATAGTTTTTTTTGGCCAAATTTTAGTCCAAAATGTTCACCCCATTTGCTTTTTTCAACAACCATTAATATTTTATTTTTTTTTACCAAAATTCCCTCCAATTTGCAACGATATTTGTGCAAATTTAGCTTTTTCATGTAAATTTTGCATTTCCATAAACTTTTATTACTTTATCTCTCTATTTTTTTGTATACCCCATATAAATTTACCTTTCCGATGTAATTAAACTACTTCTTATTTAACTTTCTTAATTTCCGTGAAAGTTCACCAAAAGGGACTATCATTAAGGGATGGGGGGAGTACATACTTTAGCCTCCTTACATATGGTAAAATATTATATGACAAATATATTATATGCATTATATTTAAATATTGTTAGGAGATATTTGAATATCATGAATCTACACGAAAGTTTAAATCTTACATAAAAAAAAATAAAAAAATAAAATTTGACTTAAATTTGAATTCACGTACCAATCTGCCGTCCTCTGTTAACCAAATTAAACCATATTATATAATCAATTTGTTTAACTACTATTACTACTAGAAATAGTACAATATCAAACACAAACTTTGAAAATCACATGAATAAGACCTAGCCGGCTTATAATTAGATCTCATACCCCCCCAAAAAAAAAACCTCTATTTTGAACCAATTGACTAAAAAGGAGATCTCATGAATAGAGAAACCTTAGCTTGTTTTACATCTCAACTTGCACACCGCCCAACACTAACCAACTATCGTAGTTAATTAAACCATGGTCAATCATATGATCAATTTCTCAGTACTTTTACACACGAATGATATTTCTAAAAACATATTATTCTATACCTTTGAGGATAATATTTTACAAATATTATCTATTACTTACATCTCAACAAATCAAACACGGAACCTCAAAATAAAAGTCCAAATTTCCCTTACCACATATTTTGTTAGTTTTAAAAAGTTGATTATACGGGAAAATTACAATTAAAAAAAAAAAAAAAAACCTAGCCTCCCCTCTCTCTCCTAAACTCTAGCCTCCATTGTCAATTTTGAAGGGGCTTTCATCGGATTTCACCGGTGGAAAGCCCCAATCTTTATTTTCTTTTAAGCTTTTTGTTTCTTATGTTATAATAATGTCTCACTCGAAAGAAAGGGTTTATCTCCTTCGAAAGACAAGGTTTTTTCGATCTCCTTCGAAAGACAAAGTTTTTCAGACTCCTTCGAAAAACAAGGTTTTATTTGTGTTTAATTTGGTCTGTGGTTGTGCCGGGCTACGCGATTGATTATGGCTCGAATTCGGGTTACGGAATCAGCACAAGAATTTACTTTCTCACAAAATTGCGAAGCGACGACGGATCCGCTCAAAAAGTTGTATAAGACAACGAATCGAGAATGTGTCGAATTGTTATATTTATGTATTTGGATTCTTAGCCTTTCCCCGATTAATTCTTGTTTGATTTTGTTGAATTCGTTTTCATTATCGTTAATTGTCAATTGTAGATGTCTTATAACTTTAATTAATGAAATTTAGTGTCTTTTAGGACTTCTTTCAAAAAAAAAAAAAGGAAAAAGTTGATTATACCTATCTTATAGGAATTTAGGAAAAAGATTCAATTATCTTATAATAAAGATAAAATTGTCAATTTTCACACTTTAAACCACAAACTCTATCCTTGCAATTCAACACTCTCTTATTTATAAAGTAAAAATAAATATCTTCGTATACATTGTATCTATACATCAGTGGCGGATCCATAAATTTCAAAATGGGGTCCAAATTTTTATTTTTTTTTTAAAATTATACAACCCAAATCAGTAACTTTTACTGATTAATGTTTCAATATTTTGTGGTTTTCTTACATTTTAATTCACATTTAGCATGTAAGTCTATATACATCCTCCGTTCATTTAACACTGCAACATGGGGATAATTACGCTTCTCAAAGCACAATTTAACCCTTAAAAAACTTTAGTTATATAATAATAACAATAATAGTAACAGTAATTAAGACGAGTCTAACAAAATATAAAGTGACTATTTTTCTTTACTATATTATCTTTTATAGATTAATGGTAATTTATGGTCAAAGTTTTTAAAATTTGACCTAAAAATAATCGCAATATGTGGTTATAGAAGAGTGTGTGAATAGTGTATAAAGTACAAACGTTGCAATATTTAAAACACGGAGATATGTGTAAAAAACGGAGATAATATATCATTTATCATTTTATATTGAGAAAACGTATGAAATAGATTCTTTTTTAACTTACCTTGAATTTCATAAATATTTTGCAAAAAGGGGATGCAAGTGCTCCCCTTCAAGTCCTTATAGATCCGCCAATGCTATACATATACTTCTGGATATTTTTATATTCATTTTGAATTACAGTTTCATATTAACAAAATTATGTAACTTTTACTGATTTATAATAATAAATAAAATAAATAAAAATGATTGAAAAAATGTTGAATTGAGAAGTATTGCAGGTAAACAAAAAAGAGGATGTAACAAAAGAAAACAAGGTAATCTATCAATTATCTTGTTAATTGACTTGAGTACGTTCGATTTTAGTTTATTGTGAAACTAATTAAGGGCATAATTGATGTATAACAAAACAAACAAATTAAAAAATAGTATATTGGTGAAATAAATTTTTATTTTAAACTGAATCATACAAAATGTAATTCAGGGGAACTAAATTAATCAATAAAATACATTCTGAATTGAAATATAAGAAATAATAGAATATTCTCATTTCAATTGTTTACAATTCTTTTTTATTTTCCCAAGATGCTCAAGATATGCAATTCTATTGTTAAGTGGTAACAAATTTTTTTTCCATTGTTTTTGTTTATATCTAATGAGACCTTAATGACTATTCTGTAAGAACATAACTAAAGAGTCAAAATAAAGTATGTGGAATTACCAAATCATCGCAACTTAAAAAAAGAGACAATATTTAATTTGATTGTGTAATTTCTCCTGTATTGATATAAAAAAAAATTCTTAGGTATTGTTGCTGTAGAATTGCGAGTTATATTTTCTTTATTAATTCCTCGCATGTATGGTAAATATAGACAAAATATTAAATATTTCTACACATAATTTATAAAAATATTATTATGAGATTTATGCATATCATGAATCTTTCCTTAAAATAAAATAAAATATCACGAATCTGAAAACCCAATTGATTTATATGCATATGTGTAGATCGCAGTAAAAATATCATGTCAAATCTGAATCCACCTACCAATCTACCATCCCCTGCTACCATTCAAAAATCATAGTTAAGTCAACCATGGTTAATTACCAAAAATAGCATAAATATCAATCACAAACCTTGCCCATCGCACAGATCTAAATCTCATTCGATTCAAAAGCAGATCTCATAACAAAACGAACCCTGATTTGAACCTAACCTAACAAATCGAAAAATAGATCTCATAAAAAAAAAGCGAACTTGCTTTGCTTTGTACCTCAACTCGCCCCTACCCTAAATCAACCAGACACTATAGTTAACTTTAACCATACTTACCACTTTCCCAATAATTTATCCCTATAAATCAAACACCAAACCTCACAAAATCACCAAAATTTTTGCAACCCACAATTTTTTTTTCTCTCTCCCCTCAACCCCCACTCTCACCCTACCTCCACCTCTTTCTCCTCCCATAAAACCCAAATAATTTCCCTCTTTCTCTCCAATAAAATCCCTAATTCTTCTACCCCAAACTTTCAATACACAAACCATATTAAATTTTTTCAATTTTCTCTCTCTCTCTCTCTTCAAATTCCAATACACCCAAATTAAGGGCCCTAAAAAAAAAAAAATCACCAAAGTGGGCAAAAAGAGCCAAAGAAGAAAGAAGAAAGGTCAAGGAAGTTTCACTTGAAATTCCAAAATTTCCCCTAATTTTTCTCTGGTACGTCTTTCTCTCTCTAATAATCTCTTTCTCCTGTTTCTCTCTCTAACCCACATCACACTATTCAATTTTTTCGAGGACTTCTACTGTGGTGGGGTGGGGAAAGCTGGGTTTCTATTGTTTCATCAAAATTTTCAAATCACCCGCTTTCTCCCTCCTTTTTCTTCCCCCCATTTTTTTTCATCTTTTCTTCTTCAATTTCGAGGTTAAGCAACAATTTTTGTAGATACCCAGAATTTAGATTGGGTTAAAACTTAAAACCCTAGTTATAATGTAGAAACACCATTTACATTGCTTGAATTTTTGTGATTTTTTGCTTGTTTATTTATGTTTTTTCAGTTGATTTGTTGGTGGGTTTTTGGGTTTGGATTTGTTTAAATATAATGTCATTTACTGGTTTAGGGTTTGAATTGGAAAGTCCATGGCAGGGTGGTCAAAATTAGGAGGTTGCAAGTCTGTTCAGACGCTTGAATCGTGTAATAAGGGTTTGAAAAGCGACGAAAATGAGCTCAGAAGTTCATTTGTTGATTTGATTTCGGATTTTTTAGAAGAGAGTTGTTCTACTGAATGTTTTCGGCCTTTACCTCCAATGCTTGGAGATGGGCATGCTGTAGATTTGCTTAAATTGTACTTTGTTGTGAAATTGAAAGGTGGATTTGAGGCGATTTCCAAGAAAAGGTTGTGGGATGAGGTGGGTTTACTCTATGGTTTGGGTCCTGGAATTGGGTCTGCTTTGAAGTTGATTTACTTGAAGTATTTGGATTGTTTAGAGAGCTGGTTAGGCAAGTTATCGAGTGTCGAGAGCTCGAAGAACGAACGGTTTTGTAGTGGGGTGTGGTCGAAAGGGGTTATGATGGCGCTAGGGTCCGAGTATAGTAGTTTTGTGTCTAATATCATGGATGAGATGAGGAAGAGTGATGATACTTATAGCTTGAAAGAGAAAAGTGAGGTTACTTTCATTGACTTGACAGAAGATGAGGAGAATGAGAATGAGAATGATAAATCGAATTGGAATAAGTTTGTTAGGAGTTTTGGAGATGATGGTGATTCAACACAAGAGAATGAGGATACTAGCAACTTTAAGCAGGATGTTGAGATGGGTTTTTCTGACGGTGTTGGTTTCACGGGAGAGAACAATGACAAGGAGAACTTTAAGGAAACGAAGAGTGAGATGAGTTATGCTGGTGTTTTTTCTTCGGATGGATCGGATGATGGTAGGTCTTCAGTTGACACTGTTGTGGTTGATAATGTGGTTAAGAGTTCCGAAAATTCGTGTGATTCTAAGAAAGGTTCGACTGATGATGAGGAGTTGCTTATGGATTCGAGTGTGTTGAAGGAGGTTTCGAGTCTGAAGAGGAAGAGGGATTCTATGTCAGATATGCTCTGTTGGATCGCTAAAGTAGCCAAGCATCCCACTGATCCCGAGATTGGCACAATTCCTGAGAGCTCTAAGTGGGCATCGTATGGAAATGATAACTGTTGGAAGCAAGTTTTGTTGGCTCGTGAAGCCCTGTTCCTTAGAAGGAGCGCTGAGCAATCTGCTTTTCAGGTACTCTGCTATTTCATTTTCTTGATATTTGATAATCTATTGTAAGCCTATGTGAATCTAATAACAATATTGCATAACATGGAACTACCTGTCTCATATGCTTTGGCAATAATTTTTGCGTATGTGCATGAGATCATGTATGACAGAGCATGTTTAGGATAACTTCTTGTTAAACTTGACTGTTTATAACACCACCCAAATACCATGTCACTGTGAATTGATAATGCTGGTAGTGGTTACCCTATCCATCACTACAAGTGCTATGTTCTGTATCTGAAGTTTGTTAAGAGATTTAGGAGGGGCTGTGTTTGCAAACCACATATCTTTGAGAATTTTTGGTTTACTTATGCAATGTACGTTTCCTTCTTAAGCTATGTATAGCTATCTGAGTCTGGTGTTGATCATAGGACCCATGATACAAAGTTTTTATATGGAATATGCATAGTATCTTATGTAGTATAATTGCGCGGTGTTACATATAGCATAGGACTATCTATGAAGTATTAAGGTATAATTGGAAAAAGCTTGATATCTTTGTGGATTTTGTTATCAAATGGAAGCTTTTCTTGTGTTGTATTAGCCTAGAAAGATATAATTGAACTTGTATTAAATGCTATGTTGTATCCGGCATTTTTGAGATGTAAGGAAAGTCTTAGAAGCATGTGTCAGCCATGATGATCCTGGCTATGGCAAATATTAAGCATAATCTTTTTATGGATACAAACTAAATAAAATTACCTGTTAAATAAACTTGTAGGCCCTTGTCTGCAGTTCTTATTTATGGTAGGCCCTTGTGTTTTGGATTAAGAGTAAATTGGCAACAATATCTCTGTGATCATGACTCACGTCAGTAAGGTTGCATATCTCCAACTCTTACAATCTCCAAGGTGTGAGCCTCTTGGGAAGTTGTTGGGTAATGTTGATGTTGATGATGACTTTTCATGGATAGGAAATGACATTGACTGAAGCTTGCCTAAGTTACTCTATAAAATTAGGCTGGATCCCTCATTCCTGCTCTGTACAAATCTATAATTATAACCTGCACCATATAGAAGCTGTCATATCTATATAAAAACTCTTAATAATCTGTAATACTTTCATTGATTTGTACATCTTAACTAACTTTCTATTCTTTATAGATTCCCCCCTTGTGCTATAATAGAATACCATGCTTTATTAAATGCCATGATTTTACCAATTTGTATGCCTTACACCCGACCTTGCAGGAAGTCGTATAAGTCTGAGTTAAGAGTTAAGACTTAAGAACTGCAATCAAGTTTGCTAGAACTAACAAATAAAACAGCTTGAAGAATTAATATTGAATTATAACATATGAGAGTAATCTCTCATTGATCCCTTTTGGTTGTTAAGCAGGATTATTTTTAATGAATTCTAGTGTGGCTCATGAGGTTTTCTTCTGAGGTGGTCTTGGCTATGCATGTGTGTCTACTCATGGATGTTTCACTTTCTTATGTCCATCATTTAGCTGTCACCTTGCTAAATTGCTTTCTTCTATCTCTTGGTGTTGGTTGTTGAACTATAATTCAAATTGAATCAGATACTGAGTGTTTTCACCCATTGCTTCCTTAATTGATTGTTGGCCAATTTCAATGAATTTCTCTTTTTGTTTCACACAGTTCTTTTCCGAAATTGTCTTGGTTCTGTGTATTTAATTTTATTTTTTTTGCTTGGACTTCTATCCATTATGTTCTCTTATTTCTGCTCTGCAGAAAAGGCAGAAAATGCATCCATCCATGTTCGATGATAATGAGGGACCAAGATTCAGTCCTAGGCTCCTTCTACCAAACTCACCTCCCATTGTGCCATCATCTACAAATCAAGGACGTCCAAGGCAACGGTTGGAGGCTCGTTTGGACATGAAACCAACTGCTTCAATCTACAAAAGTCGTCCTCAGCAGAGAATTCCTCTTGGAGAAGAGTTTCAGGTACAAGTACCAGAATGGACAGGAGTGGTTGGTGAGTGTGACTCCAAATGGTTAGGTACTCGAGATTGGCCGTTGGAAAATAGAAGTAACAATGTCTCGATTGAAACATATCCTGTTGGGAAAGGAAGGTCAGATAATTGTGGCTGTCTGTTTCCTGGAACTGTTGAGTGTGTGAAGTTTCATGTTGCAAAGAGAAGAATGGAAATGAAGTTTGAATTAGGTTCAGCATTCTATACTTGGAAATTTGATAAGATGGGTGAAGACTGTAGCGTATCCTGGACTGCCGAGGAGGAGAAGAAATTTAAATATGTGGTGAAGGAGAATCCTCTATCGCATCAAAAGTGTTTTTGGAAACAAATGCTTGAGGTTTTACCCAAAAAGAGCTGGGTTGACCAGGTGAACTACTACTTCAATGTTTTTGTGCTTCGACGTAGAGCTTTCCAGAATAGAAGCACCCCCAAGAATATTGACAGCGATGATGATGAAACAGAATACGTGTTAGCAAGAATGGCAACTAACACTCTCAGACATGACACTGCTTCTCGAATATAGATCATACAAGCATGAGAAAGCACCTCATCATGGGGTATGGGTGCAAATATATTATTTTTCAGGACATCAGGAATATGGCTGCCTCTCTGAATTTTGTTTGGATATTTTCCCTATTGATCAAGTAAACCTCCATTCCCATTGAGCTATCTACGTCTGCACATACCACCACAATTTTGATACAGTGAAGACCCTTGTGAATTACTCTACTTTATGTTGGCAGGTATACCTTTTGATGATGCAAATTCATTAAGCCTTTGGTTTTTGGACCTGTTTCTAATTTCTATGAATTATAGAATTTCAGATCCTGAATTACTAGTTGTATATAAATTCCTTCATGATTTTGTTTCCAAGTCATGATAGCAAATCTTTGGAAGCGAGGTTTCAGACAATCAGATTGCGCTTTTGCTTTCTGTTATTGCAATTGTGCCTTGTTGGTTCTTGCATCAAATCATTGTTGCAGTTATTATCTGTTTGTAGCTAATGCCTAAATATCTGCATTCCTATTGAAGGGATGCCCTTGAATTTATTTATTTTTTAATTTTTTTAAAAATTTCGTATCTAGAGTGCTAGTTGTATTTTACATGTTATGTGTTGTTGCAATCTACACTTGATAGGAACTTAGCAAAACGAGTCGTGGAGATTCTGGAGAATACCTTTTTTTGTTCAATTAGGCACAGTCCTTGTGAAGTTTTGCAAGTGTCATAAAGACTCACAAATTCACAATATCATCCATAACCATAAGGTTAGGGACTTAGGGTAGGTGAGTTCCAAACCCCAGACCTTTAGGTTGGGAGGTGGGAGCTCTACCAATTGGGATTTACCTTGTTAAACTGCTAGTTAATACCTCTGGTTCACAGGTTCCATCCATTTAAAATTTTAAACAGAGTATCATCTCCTTTGCCATATCTTTTCCGTCATCTATTGTTGGCTGGGATGGCATATGAGGTACAGTAGTAAACACAAGTAAGGGAGAGAGGCAAAACTACTGTATTATTAGTTTATTACTCGTTCTTCGTAGTATCAGTAATACACATGAACATAAATCCACACCATAAACTTATATAGCAACAGATAGCAGTGAAAGTATACATATGGAGTATTAAGCTGAAGGACTTATTCTTGAAACCAAATTCAGAAGCTATATTAATTATGCGCACATCAACTCATCGATGTCTAATACTTGTTACTTATTATCTTGCGTTTGTGCAAGAGTATTTGCAGTGCATATCTGTTTTGGAATAACACCAGATAACTGGTTTCCAGAAAACTTCGTAAATTTGTTACGGATTTGGATGAGTCAGAAGTGATCCTTGCTTTGTTACCATGGATGTAAAACAACTCCAAATTATTAAAGTGAAAGTGCCATAAAGGCAGCTGTTACTGAGGTTAAGGCCAATCACATGACTCGTCTCCTTGTTGCACTTGACAGTTTGACATCTTCTCTCCCAACAGCAAACATATGACTACTAGCGTTTTCCATATGATCATGACTTCACTTAGGCTGTCCAAAAGCGGGATGAGACACAGTGCATGCAATGAGAAAGCTTTGCTTGAACTCAAGTATAGCTAACTTCTCTTGGTCATGGCACAGTGGTTGCCGCGGCTGCAACCCTGCAAGGAAGCAGGGAGAGAGAAAGAACCATAAAATTCGATAATAAGAGTAAATAATGGAATCCAAAAGAGGATGTGTATTGTAGACGACCACTGCACGCACATTGTGATCTGTCATTTCTGTTTTTATTTTGCTGGCAAGCCTGAACTTGTAATATGCAAGTGAAACATATTGGTTTGGAGTTTGGACAGGTATACATTTATACAAGCCAGAAGGTGGGAAGGGATGACAGAATGTGATGAATGATTTTATCGACCGGCTTCTCGATCTACAGACGTCAGAGCAGGCGGGCAGGAGCAATGACTAGCAGAAAGAGACTAGACTAAATTCAAGCTCACACCTTATCAGGTTAGCCATGCAAACTTTGCATGCTTTATGAAGAAATGTTGGCAAAAAGGGAACTTATATATTGGGAATCATATGAGCCTAACATACACTATAATAAAACTTATTAGATCAGACTAATATACAACTCCCACAAGGTTTCAAAGCTGTATGCAGAGCCATGTTTGAGCGTATGTAGAAAAGAATAGAAAATGAATGTTGAGAAAGAATTGAAGCAACAAATCTACACAATAGTAGAAAAGAATACAACATCATGAATACAACATTGATCAATTTAAGCAATAGCACGTGAAGATTTCCCTCTCAACAATGAGAGAAAATCAAGATCCCATGTAGAAAATCCTTCTTTGTATTAGCCTAATAGGAGAAAATCGAAATCCCGAGTTTGAGCTTTAGTTACAACATAAGAAAAAGGATTTTCTTTTGTTATAAATTTGTATATTATTCATCTGATTTTGAAATATTGTTTACGATGTGATTAATTAGGAAACGATGCTAGTATACTTCATATTAGATAATGCCAACAATACGAGGGGTTAATTATCTAGGAGAAATGTATGGTATATGTAGTATGAATATTAAACTATTGACTACGCCCATAAAATAAAAAAAGAATATTGAACTATTGATGGACAAGTTATCTCATGAATGCACTAGAGGGTTACTTGCACGCAAATTTCACCAAGTTACGTTGTTTGCAATTTTTTGCTCATTTAGCTATTTCATACATTAACCAAGTCTATATTTCACCAAGAGAGCACTCAGAATTAAAAATAAATGGAAGTTTAACTAGAATAGGGTGGTGGTACTACGCTTTCAAATTAAGATATACTAGTATTATTCCAACGCATATGCTTCTACCTCAAGTTTTTGTCTCTCTTTTTATAATGAACTCAATCAACTCATACTTAAAAAATAAATCTTAATTAATTAATGAAAAAAAAATACACCCTCCGTTTTATTTAAGTGTCTCATATTGACTTTGACACTACTCTGTATTCACATACGAAGTACGGAGTACATTGCTTTGATCCTGTATTTTATACAAATACATAAGATTATATATATTCATGTTGATACTTGTTAGAATCGTCTCAAAGCATATAGTTTTCAAATATCAACTTTTTTTTTATTTTTTATTTATAGTTGATTAAAGATTTCATTAGTTAAAATTCTGCATTGACAAGTATGCGATGAAATTGAAACACTTAAAATAAAATCAAAGGGATCATCGTAATTAGGTCATATCTATTGAAGCATGTTCTTCGTATTAATCAATGCAAGTTTGTTAAAGCAAAAGTCCTAAATTGGTGCTAGTTGCATCATCATTCTTAGTATTTGGTCTACTATTTGGTCTGGGACCATCATGTAATTCAGAGATCTGGCCCCTTGTTTTCTCATCATTTTCTTCCTTTCTTAATTTTGTTGTCAACTTTTTTTTTTTTTTTTTTTTTTTCTTTCAATTTGTTCACTAAAATTAGTACTCCGTATGTTTTACTGTAATGGTGTTTAGTTAATAAATTACTAACTTGATCAAAATGTTAACCACTACATCAATGCTACCACCGAACAAGACCTTATATCGACTGGCTGAATAATTACCTCCTCTTTTTTTCTTTTTTTTTTTCTTTTCTTTTTTTTTTCTTTTCATTTTTTAAAAATTAAATTGCTTTCATTTTGCAATTTGATTGTGGATGTAGACTGATTTTTTTGCTCTATACATTATACAGGGACTGAGAAGGTGTAATAGGTGTCCCACATAACATAATAACAGTCTATCTATGAAGATCTCTTCATCAGTACAAGATCAAAGATGGTACTCCACTAAAATTGGAAAGTACAAGATAATTTGGATATTGAAATTACATATATAATTCTCAGTACTTGGTATTTTCTTCAAATGTTTTTTAAGAATCTGATTCATCCATACATATAATCAATAAAAAATACAGTAACTTATACCACACAAATTATTAGAAATATCGTAAAATCAAGCGCTCACTGATTTTACTCAGTAATACTCCCTCCGTCCCATAATAATTGACACAATTACCATTTTCGTCCGTCCCAAAATACTTGACGCATTACTAAATATGGAATGAGACCACTAATATCATATCGTATCACTAATAAATAAAGCCGGTCTTGCAGCCAAGCCACGAGATAGCGACACTTGACATTCCGATTTTTCGCCAATTGTTGCACCACGTAGACGACAAATAGGTATTATTGTGACACATATGATGCTAAGTAAGCGACTTTTGGATAGATTTTTTAAGATAAAATTGTTGCATAGAGTTTTATTATCAATAAAATTCAAATATTTCATATATACAAAATTAATCATAACTTTTAATCAATATCCTATAACTCAATTATATTTCCATCATCAAATTCGCTTACAAAGTTCTTTAAAATAAGGTACTTTTATAATATATTTAATCACGAACTTTTATACGTAGTTGGCCAAACCGTGTCACCAACCATTACAAGATCAGAGTTACTTCGTTAGTGCTATAGGGGTTACTTGGTCAGTGTTATAGTGGTTACTCAACCAGTGTTATAGACAGGATGTTGTGGTTAGCCGCATACAAAATGCATTGTTATTTAATTTATTTAAAAGAATATTAGAGAATCAATAAAATAAGTTTTAATCAGTAAAAATAATTTTAATTTGGTAAAAATACTTTCAGTTCAGTGAAAATAATTTAAGTTCAATAAAAATAATTTCAGGACAATAATAACATAGATATCTATTTACAAACAAAACTACACAAAGTACACTCCATATGATATCGTGGGTCTAAATATCCTACATTATCATAACGAATTATTTGACTGTATTTAACATTCATGTAAAAATGTTATCTTAAAATTTTATCAACCATCTAGGCATCGCCCGGACGCAAAACTAGTATATATATAAAGGTGAGTTTTTTCCCGAGTTTTTAGAAAGCCACGTAAGATAAAATTTTCTTAACGCGCCATGTAGGATTATAAATTTTAGTTATAGTCAATCACATGAGAGATTTGTAATTTCTTTTAAAAATAAATAATTCAAAAACCACATAAGCAAAACTGGCGAATGAGATTTTAAAGTTTAATTTAATTAAATATAAAAGATTGTCTTTTAAGATTATGAATTTTATCAAAATATAAACTCACAATTTATTTTAAAATAAGAATATCAAATGATATACTACATACAACGAATAAAATAAAAAATTTAATCACATACATACAAAAAAAAATATTTGTTTTAAAAAATACAAATAAACTATGCATCCCACGGGGTTCATTGAGTAAAAAAATATTTTCCTATACTCTCTTTGAAACCACAAACCTCAAAGCCCAATTAAATCTTACATTTTCTCTCTCCTCACCAACCCCCCCCTCCCACTTTTTGTTTTCTTACTATATAAAAATACAAAAGAGAATCATTTATATAATAAACAAATGTTTTAAATGGACCCACTTGTAGTTTTCTTAAA